CTCTAGGGTTCCTCTTGAAAGCTTGTAAGCCAGTCACTTCTTGCCTTTGTAGGCCCCCCGCCCCCCATTTTGGGTAGCCAATGTCCAAGTTGCTCATCCCTGTCTACTCTGTGTATGGAGGGGGTGGGAATGATCCTTGCTGTAAGGATTTGTTCCCTCTTTTGAGCTACTGCATCTATAGGTGTAGGTCAAGTTCATCAAATTGTATCATATTACTCTTTTCTTCTTCTTCTTTCTTCTTCTGGTTGAACTCTGATCATCCAGTCATTGAAGCCAGGTCAAGTGGGTATTATCTGCACTTGTGGGTGTTCTTATGCATATGCCCTCTCTTCTTATCAGCTGGACGCTTCACTCTCCACTCTAGTCCTCTGTGGCTATGTCACTGACTCTGGGCCCAAGAGTCCCCAGGTCTTGCCACACTGCTGGCCAACCAGGTCTCCACCAGGGTTCACAGGAGTCTATTGCAAGTTGTAGGACTTAGCTTGCAGCTTCATTGCTGTTTTTCCCTCACTTACCCTTATCAGTGACCTGAGGTGAATTTTGCCACCTTTTGTTATTTCTGGTGCTCAGGTCAGGACCTGACCTAATTGTCCAGCCTCCCCAACCCCCTGACTCCCATTAGACACATAGTGTTCATCACGTGGTCACTTAACACTATTACCAAGTCTCTTTTGTGTTCTAGCCTCACAGGACCCAGAGATAAATCAGACATGTCCCGGCTCTCGAGACAAACAAGGAGACAAAAAAATGACAGGCCCTCAGTGGGGAGCCTGTGGAAACCGCAGGGTAGGAAAGCCCCCTCAAAGGAGGAGTCACTTGAGGTGAAACTTGAAAGGTGGCCAGGAGTTTCAATAGAAAGGGGGCCGGGGTACATTCCAAGCGGCGGTAAAAGGAAAACACAGGAGAAATTATGTTGGAACTACTTTCCCCTGACTTTCTCTCCAGCATTCACAGGCCCCCAGGATCCCTTGCGTTTGCCGAATTTGCTCAATCAGCCACCTGTTTCTCATGGTGAGTGCTGAGGTGGGGCCCTGCCCTTGCCCATAGTCCCTCAACCTGCTGGTCCAGGGTATTCCTTCGACTTCCTCTTCAGGGCTCTTGGGGAACACAACCTAACCAGTAGGAGGCCTTGGTGGCAATTTTGAGGCCTACTCAAACCTTGAACCTCTGGATTCAGATTCAAGCTGGATTCAGAAGAGGCTGTGGAA